CGCCCCGCCCCGCCCAGCGCGCTTCATATGGTGAGTACTTGGAGGCGCAGTAGTGAGGCGCGCGTGCGGGTGGAAGGGTGGGGTAGAGTGAGTACGAGGGATGTGGGGTGGGGTGGCCTGAGGTAGTGTAGTGGTGGTTGGAGGACAAAACAAAACAAAAATATTGTCCCAAGGAGGGAGTGCCCGCCTCCTGCCCCCCGCCTGTCACGTCAACTTGTTGTTCTACTATTCCCCGCAGCGAACTATTGAGGAGCGAGCTCGCGGAGCGTTCTCTCTTGGAGCCCCTGGAGGGGGGTAATGTCCGTAATAAAACTCTGGTCATTTCAATGCGTAGTTCGGTGGTTCAGGGGTTGGGGCCCTCCCTCCCGTCCCGTCCCGTGGGCGCGGTTGGAGGTGGCCGCACACGCCGCACAGCTCGGCGACACTTGGAGGTACTACAGCTTTGTGTTACTGTTGACGATGCCAATAATCGGATCAGGGGCCGACGCTCGCGGTCGCTGCTTCCGTATTTCGGACGTGACATCGGCGGGGCGGGAGTGCTCTCCCTGCTCGCGCCACTCGGGTTGGCCCGCGTCCCACCCCGTCCCGCCGCGCCCCTCCCCACCTCGCCCCGCGGCGAGTACGGCGACCGTCTCACAAGTGCGCCAATCTCAAGGCCTTGCAATACAATGGCTGAGATAAAGCGAGTTGGGCTCAAATTAGATCCGCCATACAAACCTGCTGGTGCAGCAGGGTTTTCTGGAAGGCCACACACAGCGAGAACACGCCTTCAGGAGGGTCGGGACCGCGAGCCACACGGTCAAGGGCGACGCTGTTTGGTCAGGGGTGTGAGCAGAGCAGAGCCAGCGCCAGCAGAGCACACAGGCCAGGGCCGGCTCGGACACACCATTGTCGGATCAAAAGTCGTATGTTTGTCAGCGTGTCGCAGGCGCCAACAAATCGGCCATCAAGCTGCGTCCTCTCTCTGCCCGCCGCCGCCCGGTGTGCGTGGGGATCGGATGCACATTACAGACCCCTCCCTGGTGGTGGTGGTGCTGGTGGTGGGTGGAGTTCAGAGAACTGCGTTTCCGTCTAAGCACACTCAGAAAAGTGTACCTGTGATTTCACGTTAATACTTGCTTTCGTTTGTTCATAAGGAAATTTTGACATTGGTAGAGTGCTGTATTCAGTTGATTGAAGGGAATTTCCTTTGAATGAACGGAATTGAGCTTAACAGTAACGTCACAATAACTCCCTTGCCGATGCACTTTTTGACGTGAAATAAAAGGTGCGTTTTTCTAGGTGTATGTTGCTAGCTGCACCACTGGTAAAAATAAAAAAAAATTATGACTAATACGAAAAGTATGTATCCCCCCCCCCCAATAAACCAACAGATTGGCCAACACACGTCACCACACCTTGGTATAGGCTTCCTCCCCGATGGTGAAACCTCGACTACGACAACATTACTACACTATCTAGAAGGTCAAGAAGCAGGGTCGAGCAAAGACGGCTATTGCGCCTTTCTTTACTTGTTTCTTATTTACAGTCCCTATCTTTCCCTCCCTCTCACCTTTCCCGGCCAACCCCGGCTTCTCCGCCTCCCCTGCCTCCCTTCCTCTTTTCCGCCTTCCGGGCACCAAGAATAAGGGGGCTACATTTCTGTTTGGCCGGAACCGGACGAAGAAAATATAGTAAATTAAAACATACGGATAGGCAGAAGCGGAAGCAGCACTCTGTGACACGATTGGCTGTCCAATGACGTGTTGGTTCTCGTCAAAAATATGCGGATCAAGTTGCCAATAAGCCCCGCGTCATCGGCGAGTCAGTGCGCCCCGCACCCCACCCCGCACCCCCTTTCCCCAGAGCCCACGGCTTCTGTTTCGCACAATGGTTTCCGTGACGGCTGCTCAATCAAGTGATAACATATTTGTGAAGTGACAAGTGGTCTGTAATCAAAACATTACAAATCTTCAATCATGTGATAAAACATTAGTCCGGAGATAAATGATTTGTTTCATGCAGTGTGACGACTGATTTGTCATCACCATTGAAACAAAGGAGTCATCACACATGTGACAACTCATTTGTTCTATAGGCCGAAATGAATGTTTTGTCACGATATTTGTTGTCACTTCACAATAAGATTTTACAGTGTAAGTACTCTTCTCCAACTCATCTAGTGGCTTAATTCCACCCCCCTACCCACCGCCGCCCGCCTCCTAGACAGCGGAGTTCTGCGACCCACCGGTGCGCCACCTTACGAAAATAAAGGGTTAGCTTTATAGCTAAACGGTAGACCAATATAGCTTAACGCAGCTAATTATTTGGCTGTGCAGATAAAATTTAGCTATGGTGCCAAAAGTTTGCTATGTGGCTAAATATTTAGCTATGCCGCCAAAAATTTAGCCTAACTGCTCAAAATATAGCCATATTAGCTACATGGCTAAATAATTAGTTATCCCGCATTGAGCCTCTGATTTTGCTACACAGCTAATCTCTTTTACCGAGCTGAATCCGCCACTGCCCCTCCTGAAGTGGGTCACCCAGCGTCAAGCGTCATCGGCAATAATTCGCGGATAAGACGCCGGGCTGGCGCCAATCTGAGGCGTCGCCGGCGGCCAGGCCAGGGGAGAGAGCTGGATCATTCGAGAGGCGCACTCGAGCTGTCGCACTCTGCAGCCCCTCCGGTCCGCCGCCGTGGCGCCATGTGCAGCACGCTTCAGCGGCCGTCGCGGCCAGGCGCCGCACC